CCTGACTCCAACTTACCTATCTTCTACTTTCTGCCATAATTACCATCTTCATACTTATAACACAAGACAGACTACTAAGCTACATTTACCTAATTACACTAGCACAGCAGGTCAGCGAACATTTGCTTACACAGGTACAAGTTCTTTCAACAAACTGCCGGCAGACATAAGACAGATCCCAACCCTGAAACGCTTCAAGGCAGCTGTTAAACAGACCTCTGACCTCCACTGATTCAATGATTTGTATATTTTGTTCAGTTGTTTATATGTTTATATATGTTAACTTTTCAGTTATACTGATTTTCAGTTATACTGATTTCTGTTAACTTTTGTTACTTGATTGTATAATTTACTTTTATACAATTTGCTTTATGTTATGTTATATTTGTTTGTGACCCTGGGCCCTCTTGAAAATCAGCAATATTATGCTGTAGAGGCTACCCAGGTGTTTACAAGATGAAATAAATAAATAAATAAATTAGGACCAAAGCTCATCATCACAGGTATCCATTGCTTCTAGACAACTGTCATAAAAAGCAATATAACAAAAATAGTATTGGGCCATTGACAGATACACTGGGAGCAAATCAAATGTACGTAATTAAGGAAAAATGTTTAAGTATCTGGTCATTAACGGACTAGTATTTAATACCAGAAATAGTAATGCCTACAATGTACAAGTACCAGAGTTATCAAGCCGAATTCTGCAGATTAGGTGTAACAGGCAAAGGTTAGGTGTGAGAACGTCCAGTGTAACATCACTGGCTACTGTCACACCATGTGCCTGCAATGCTGGAGTGTGACAATTACAGAATGATGCTGAATAAACAAATTGTAGCAAAATTGTAAAAATGGTATAAACAGAAAATTTAATTAATTTAAAGCAAAGGGCATTGAGCCTTGGTACACTCAATATCATCAAAGCTACAGGAATCACCCTATATCCGAAATGCTTCTGAAGATCAAAAAAGGGTAAACACAAAAATGTAAAATGAGAGAATCTTCCCCACACTGTAGAATAAGATACATCTATACTTCAGATACACGTACAAAATTGAATGTACATACATGTATGTATGCAATCAGTAGTGATGAAAACAGGTATTACCTGGTAGTAGATCCTATATCCCCTCACAGGTGCACCTGTTTCAGGTGCCTCCCACGACACCCACAATGTGGTATCATCTATAGCTGTCACATTGATGCGGGGCACAAAGCCTGGCACAGCTGCAGCTGTAATACACAGGTGATCATCTCACATTCAACACATCATGAGTAACATTAGTGTCAATATTGCAGTTGCTTACTGATATAATGGATAAAAAAAACAATTTTTCTCTGCCAACTTTCAAGGGTCATAGGACACATTTTTGACACCCATTCCCTTTCTGACAGTGCTCTACTTCAAGATAAAACATGATGAGCCTCACTCTGGACTTCATTACCAAAAGTGGATGTTTTGCACCTGTTTGATTCACTATGTTCAAATTACTCTCTCCATGCCTTTGTAGAAATACCTAGGGAAGGGGGGGGGGGCTCATAGAACTAAGACCGAACCCCAAATTATGCCTTTGGTTAATTCTTTTTCTTGTTTGATGGCAGCACAGATATAAATTTGATATACCCGATGACATGAGTGCATCGTCACCTTGTCTGTATTTCTCTTTTTTTGTTGTATTTCTGTGTCTATTATGGTGCTTATCTGCAAAACTTGTCACATCATCCCTTAAACACCATAGCTGCTGTGTGAGGGTACAGTAGTGCCCATGTCTTAGAAAATTCCTGACATTAACCTTAAGGAGACATCAGATCTTTTGTCAGAAATTTGATTACATAAATGATTGTTGACATGTTTGCTTGTTTGTTTAAACCTTTTTTAATCATGAGAATCTCAAATCAGCCTGCAGGCCACTTTTCATTGAGGTCATGAGGGAAGAGGTGACAGTCAGACAGTTGACATCATTTAAAGTCCTAATGAATCTATACACATATTTTTACTCACACTTGATACAAAATACATACATAAGAGTGAGAGCCGATATAGTTCATATCCATTCATTTTGGTAATTTCTGATTTCTATTACTTTAAGAGTCTCTTTAATAAAGGAAAGAAAGGATATGGGACTGTGCATGTGTCTGGTAGTAGATACTGTGATGGTGGTACATACTTGTACGGACTGTAAACCTCTGAGTTTCCGATCCGTCTCCAGCTTCATTGAAGGCCAGAACCCACACAGTGTACTCAGTATTGGGCAGCAGCTGTCCAATGATTCTGTTCCTTTCATTTGCATCTGCCTCAATGGACAACGATTGCTGTCCTAGTGTCTGTAGAAATTATCTATTAGTTTTCCACAAGCATTATCTCTCTACAAAAATTGAATTGCCTGGAAATAATAAACTTCTAGCTTCATCCAAGTTTGGTTAATCAATCACAGATGATAAAGTCCTTATGAAGACATTCATTGTCATTTCTGTTTGTGTGTACAAATGTGGAAGACTATATAGTACAGACAGCAATTGTGAAACAAATAGTGGTTGAGTAGAAACAGGAAAACCTGACTTCTGAGATGCCAGGAATCGAACCCGTGCTGAACTGGGCAGTCAGCTTAGGACACCAGCACACCAATGACTACTCCGTAAGGTTCAGACCCTTTGGCGCTTGAACCTCACTGTTAATTGCATCTTCCTTTCTTCTTCCTCAGTAAAATGCTTTGTTGGTGACATAAGAGCTACCTGACCTAGGTTAGATGACTGACCCATAGCTTATACAAGACTGAGAGTCAGACTGAGCTACATTTATGCTAGAATCAAAGAAACAAAATTAACTTTCAATCCTGTCACTAGCCCATACCTGTGGTGTCAGAAGTGAAGTTGCCTTACCTGGTAATATATCCTGTAGCCCAAAACAGTCCCGCCCCGGCCAGGAGGCACCCACTGGACTCTGATCATGGTGGGGCCAACTGGTGTCACCTCTAGTCCCCGGGGTGCCTCTGGTAAAACTGAACAGAAAATTTCTCCTTTGTGAAAACATCTAAAGTCAAACTTAAAGTCAAACCTACAGAGAGAACATAAAACTTTCTCAGAATTTAAAAACCTATAAAATTTCACTAAAATAGAAGAGATGGATACATAGAAAGTTGAGGGAGTCAAAAGAATGTAATACCATCTACATCTTGTGTCTGCACACGGACAGTTGAGCTCCTCAGCCCCACGCCTACAGGAGACACCGCCACAATCCATACCAGATACTGGGTGTTGGGCTGTAGCCCACCAATCAGGTGGGACCTCTCATTAGGACCAGACTGCACAGAGACTGCCCTGTTGTCATCAACAACCTGATGAAACAATCACTGCTGTTGGATTATTTGTTCTTCTGACAAACATACATGTACATGGGTACAAACGAGGACTCATAAAAGAATGACACAATGACATTTCAATCTCAAAAATTCTTCTGCACCAGAGATCCACAAGGGTCTGTCTCCCAAATATACAAAGAAAACAGGGGGTTAACCAGCTCAAACTCCAACAACAGCTGACAACAATACACAAACCCTAATTTTGACCTAATTTTCTCATGTACAGTATCTATCCACTCTGGGAAGGCAAGACCTCATCACTCAGGTCTCTCATAAAGTCCAATAAACTGATGAATAAAGAAAACTTGACCAAAATAGGAAAGTTTAGACCCTTCCTGTTCCTTTTAGCCCAAAAGTATCCAAAGTAGGCCAAAAATTTAAGAGAAAAAAATTATCTTTAAAGGGACTACATGTACAATCATGTTCCGATTTTGGGCGCTTTGCACAATGCAATGGTGATGTCAGTCCTACAATCATTTCACTATGAACTACTAGGTTCCAGTTGACTGCCTGACCTGGTAGTATACAAGGTAGTTTGAGATGTCTCCCCCTGATGTTGGAGGCTGCCAGTGCACCAGGATGGTTTTGGGGTCTATGGTAGAAACTCGGACATCCCGCGGAGTTCCTGGGAGTTGGGGATGCTCTGAAGATCAACATGAAGAAGAGTGAATAACAGTTACTTTCAAATTTACCTACTGCAAAGAAGGTGTTGTCTACATCTGATGATTTAGAATGTTCCCACATACCAGGTAATGTATTTTTGTGATGCCATTGGATGGATTTGTTTGAACTGTGTGTGCTTGTGGACAAAATATCTAATAAATAATATAAACAAATATAAACAAAGTGTACGAGGGGTGTTCAAAAAGTTCTCGGCCTCACCTAGAAAACGCCAGGGCAGTAAAATTTTTCTTAAACTATTTTATAATATAGTCCTCTCTAACTGCAATGCACTTGGTCCAGTGATGTTCCAGCTTTATTTTCCCCTTGTGGAAGAAGGTTGCATCTGGACCCCCCAGATAGGCCTATACCGCATAGATGACGTCATCATTACCATCAAAACGTTAACCACGTAAGCGGAACTTGAGTTTAGGAAACAGGTAGAAGTCCGAGGGTGCTAGGTCAGGTGAATTGGAAGGGTGGGGTTAGACTGCAAATCCAAATTCGTTTGCTGCTGTTGCTGACCCCTGTGTTGTGTGGACAGGTGCATTTTCATCACGCCAGCTCGGAGCTTTCCTCTCCTTTTTTCTTTGAT